ATTTTGACATCACAAACATCTAATTTGAACCAATGCTGCATTCAACATACCATGTGACACACAAAAACTGATGTTTATGTGTGTTTGTTTAATATTTACTTTTAAATTAAGAAATTAAGTAATGTATAATACTAAACTTTGAATTATAATCTACTGTTTGATACCAAACTTAATGACACAAATTCATAGAATAGTAGTTCAATACAATTTTGAATGAGAGTGAACAAACACGATGACATGGCCTTTGACCCATGATTCACGTGGAAAGGGTTGAACAGCATATACGAGCTTGCACATGAGTTCTGGGCACGTGAACAAACCACTGTCCAGTGGTTCTGCAGCTGGTCTACAGGTTTACTATGCTTACATGGTGAGATGAGCACAGATAGCTTATTGTGTAGTTTTGTGCTGAACAACAACCAAACTAAACAAGTAAATGAATGCCTCCTCTAATTTATTGATTTTAAGTTACTTACATATCGCTATTTGTACTGTATTTTCTGGTAACTTTACGTGTGTCTTTATCATAACTTTTTAGTTCTTTCTTCCACATGATTCTTACTGTTTTGTGAACCACTGTTTGCAATTAAAATGTTTTCATTTAAGATTTATAATTTTATGTGTTTCTTTCCTAATTAGGAATCGTGTTTGTTAAATATAAAAAAATATTTGTAATTGGTAGAAAAACTTGTATATGAGATCTCAAAAGATTTTGCATTGTATACCAACGACAGTTTTAGACTAAAAAACTTAATATACTTTATATCTACTTTTTCCAAAATTAAACCTTTTCTAATAATAATTTTCAGTTAGGAAAATGTTTTAAATAATAAGTAATGATTTTAATCCATATTGATTGCTTATTGTTAAAGCTTAGTGAGTATGCAAAGGGATTGTTTAAAAGTTCAGAGGTGTGTAAGTACAATATAGTTGTTGGAGCATTACTCTGTTTAGCTTGAGCTTTAGTGTGCTTACTTGTAATACCTTTCTTTTAAATACGTTATCTTTCTGTTAAATTTTACTGAGATGATTGACAATAGTGTTTATCTTATTTATTTCAAAACATAGTTTGTATCCATGTGCATTCAGAGACTTGAAATAATCAATATTCATTTTAATGTTATTTTGACTTTCAGTGCTTAGCTAGAAATAAGATGAAAAGTCCACTATTTTACTAAATCAAATTTTTTTTTACCTCGTCATCCACACAAAAAACAAGCTGAGCCATGAACTTCAATTAAGTATTTAGCTTTGGATCATTAGCATAAAGAATTTTTCTGTAAAATGAGTAAATGTGAAATAATAACTTTGGAAATATCTAAAAACTATTGTATGTGAAGAACAAATTTTATAAATTTGACACTAATGAGGATCCATCAGTGCCATGAATGAATCTTGTGAAAAGACAGCTAAAATTTCATCTTTAGTTAAACAAATCACTCATTTAAAATCA